GCGGCCCCCAGAGGTCCTTCGCAAACTGAGTGTCCCGCTGGTTCTGGGCCGCAGCTGGTCTGTGCTCGCCGTTAGCCCTGCTGGGCACCCTTGGCGTGGGCCCTGGGTGGTGGGTGGCTGGTAGAGAGTTTAAGTTCGGGTCCCCAAACCTCTCGTGTTGCAGTGGCTGTGGAGCTGTGGGGAAATGCTTTGCTGCGGCACAGTGGGTCACAAGAAGGGGAGAGCTGAGTCTCAGTGTTTCTTGGCCTATACGCTGGACGACTGTGTATTGGGAGTGTTGCTATCAGCACCCCAAATGGTTCTTTCTCATGGGTCTGATTCGTCTGGAAGAGGTTAATTAGGGAGAGGTTAGCTTCAGCAAATAGGTGTAAGCTATCATTTCTTCTCTTCAACAGTCATATTTTATTACAGCCCTATTCTGTTACCCTGAAAGGTATCATGGCTGGCAAAGCAGCAGATGATAAAACACATTTTCCCATAAGAAGTCGTGTTATGTGGGGCGATGTATGCAGGGAGTTATTGAAATGCACACAATCTAAATACACAAAGGCATGATGCAGATGATGGGATGGTAAGAGAAGGCTCGTCAGCAGGGGTAGTTGGTTATTTTTTAGTTATTTTTATTAGCTGTTATTCGTTTAATAATCTTTTATATTTTTAAAGTCGTCTTTAAAGAAATAATCACCATTCTGAAAGACCTTTACCCCTTCATCAGTGAAATTGAACATCCATTGTAAATCTGTTGTAAGTGTTCTTGCAGCCTTTCTCGATTTTCCTTCTTGCCATAATCTTCCTCAGGTGAGGCAAGAAAGGTCAAGTCAATCTAGATTGAAGGGTGGAAGATGGGATGATGATGGTTAGCAGAGCAGGATGTTAAAACAGTGAAGAAGCAGTGGATAAGGGGATGTTGCTCTGAGGAGCTGCTCTCCAGCTATTTTATCTGCAAGAGGAAAATTAATTGCTGGGTGGTTTGTTTTTTTTTTTTCTTCCCCAGACCTTTTCTGTTGATTTGAGGCTGTCCCCAAGTCTTGTTTTGCTGCTTTTTGCCACAGAGTGATTTTTAGACACGAATTATTGCTGTGTGAGAATGTTACTGTAACTGAATTTCTTCTTACTAACCCAATTCTTTTGTGCAGCTGAATGAGCTGGTGGTGGGAGACACCAACGGGAAGCTCTATGTTTACAAGAATGATGACAGCAAACCCTGGGCTGTGCGATCTTGCCAAGGAATGGTCAGTTCTTGACAGAATTGTTAATGGTTTGGCCTTTTAGTGTATGTGCAGCGAGCTGTCCTTGACCGTTGCTTAGGAATACGTAGGCCAGAGGGGAATGGCAACCAGAGCTGGTTCTGTTGACTTTCACATGGATATGCACAGCTTGCTTTTGCCCACAGCTAGCCACATGGGCTAGGAGAGCGAAGTAATGAACAAACGCAGGAACTGGGCTTCTGTCCCACTTCGTCCTTGTTCCTGTGCACCGTGGATTTGGTTCCGGGGCTCGGTGCAGCTGTGTGGCAGATCTGTTTCTGTCCCTGTTCTTTCATCCTTGAAACGGCTGTTCTGAGTTCAAGAGAGGGTTATGAGAGAAGAAGAAATAGAACAGAAGCTTATCCCAAAGCGCTGTTTGAGTTCTCTCATGTATGGCCTTCTTTTCTCTTTCAGCTCACATGTGTTGGAGTGGGAGATATATGCAATAAGGGAAAGGTGAGAGCAGCCAGACTTTTCCCAGCTGTGTCTGTAGGGCATGTGGGAGGTGTTTAGGGTCATATCATGTCCTGAATGTGGAGAAGGACAGGTTGCAGGTGCTTTGTCTTCAGGATCTGCCCTTGCTCACAGTTTTAGCACTACTGTTTTTAAACTGTCCTATTTACATATAGCCTCGATCTTTCTGTGAGCCATGTGTAGGTTTTAGTGAGCAAGAAAATCCATCCTGTCTTCAGAAAGCAGTATTCATTTGTATGTACCCCTGTGTGAGCGCCACAAGGCTTCGGTGGTTTGAAGGTTGCTCCTTTTCCTTAACGACTTTTGCCCTGCTCTGTGCTGGTCCCTGCGGTGGGTTATGGCCCTTCTACCACTTGGCCGTGTGCATTTAAGGTCATCTAAACAGGACTGAGCCACTGAATAGTCTGGTCTCCCAGGCAAATTCCACTGGGTCTGATATGACTCCTTTTGCTGGATTGCTATTTCTGGGGGTTAAGCCACGACCACAGAGTCCGAAAGTCCTGGTTTAGGCACCCTGCCTAAAATACTGTAGCTGTGTGTTCTCCAGTGGGGAGCAGAGCTGAAGTGAGCATTGAGAAAGCCACACTTCTGGGGATTGCATGCACACATCAGCTTGATAAGCTGGTTTGACAAGGATGAACAAGAAGTTTGGATCCTGCAGTACCCAAGTAGTTTGTATGCTGGCCAAAACCCTTCTCCTGTCCCCTCTGTAGCAGTCACTGATCTTGATGGATCTACCCTTCTATCTTCCCTCACCCTGCTGCAGAAGATCTTCTGCAGTTTCTAAAATAGGAAAAATCAAAAGGTTTTTCTCTTCCCTCTTAGAATCTTGTGGTGGCAGTGAGTGCAGAAGGCTGGTTTCATCTTTTTGACCTGACTTCTCCAACTTCAAAACACCCAGATGCTTCAGGCCACCATGAGTTGGCAGCAGCAGAAGAGCAGAAGCCAGTGTTCAAGCAGCACATTCCTGCCAACACCAAAGTCATGCTGATTAATGACATTGGTGAGCCAGGAAGATGGTGTGGGAGTGCAGGGAGAGGGAGTTTGTGGGTAAGAGGTGAGAAGGGGGAAGAGAGAGAAAATGTGTTGGACTCACAGAAGGAAATTACTCTCTTGCTGAAGTAAGTGCTCTAACAAGCAACAGCTGAGTCATGGAGGGGAGAAGCAAAAACTTCAGGATTTCTCCTGAAGTGCAAGTCCTCATTATGGGATTGGGATGTTCAGAGATGCTACGTGGTGGAAACCAGCACAGTGGTTTACGAATGTTGGGGCTGTGAAAGCCTGAGCGACGCCGTCTCTCTCCTTTTATTCCCTTCAGATGGAGACGGGAAGTGCGAGTTGGTGGTGGGTTACACTGACAGAGTGGTGCGTGCCTTCCGCTGGGAGGACTTGTCGGAGAGTTCAGACCATGTGTCTGGGCAGCTGCTCCTGTTGAAGAAATGGCTGCTAGAAGGTCAGGTAAGGAAATGGGGTGCTCAGAGCAGAACTTGTCATACAGTCTTCAAGAGGTGGCCCTCTCAAGGGAAGAAGCACAGGATCTCAGTCCTGTGAACAAAGCAATTGTCATATTAATGGCTTGAATGATTTGCCCAGTGCTTGTCCTGTACTTGCAGAGCAGCTGGTGGGTTGGTCTGGGAGACCAGTCAGTTGGTCTCACCCATCTAGAGAGCATTAGTAGAAAATACTAGTGTTGTTCTTAAGTGGCTTTTGGTAGGGAAACATAACCTTTTACTGTAACTTGGACATTTTGCTTGTAGCTGGGTTTGTTCAGCTCCTGCTCAGCTCTGTCAGAAGATCTGCCATACTCAAGTTTAGGTACGAGGAGGACAGTGAACTCTTCTGAGGTGTTTGGAGTTCTCAGTTTGACTCCATCGATGTTTTTCCTCTGTCAGTATAGGTGGACAGCCTGTCTGTGAACCCAGGCCCTGACGGCTCACCGGAGATGATGGTGTCTCAGCCAGGTTGTGGTTATGCCATTCTGCTGTGCACCTGGGACTCTGAGCAGCAGGCCACAACAGAGGGAAGAGACAACTCTGCCCCAGGCAGGTGAAGAGCATTACTGCATGTGGTAGATAAGGAGATTCCATTGTAGATGCCCGTTACAAGGGGGCACCACCATGCCATCTTTCGGGGGGGGGGGATGTGCTGTCATTTGTCCTTGCTTCTGTGACCTTGCTGCATTGCTGGGACTTAAGCACACCACCTATGAACACTCTTCATGTTTCCGTCACAAAGATGAATACTGCTGCTTTCCTTGTATCCCACTCTTCTTCTGGGTTTGGGCAAGGAGAGTGGCGAAACCATCTCACCGAGGGGGACAGTACTGAGGGCTAAGGTAGGGAAATGAGTGACCTAGATCTTCAGAGAAAAAGTAGTAGGCAATCTGGTGACCTGTCTAATGGTGGGAAGGGTAGCAACTGAAAGGCTGGGCCAAGGCCAGTTAATCTGAAACCCAGGATGATATTTTGGTTTTATTCACTTGTTTCTTCCAGGTGAAGTAATTGGAGTTTTTCCTAATGAGACCTTTGGCAGCCAGTGCTGTAAATAACAACCAGAGCAATCAGGACGAGCAGAGAGTTTATTGTCCTTGGCACTGGAGGGACCCTTGTGGGGGATTCGGGTGCTTCCGTGGTGTTCTGTGGGACTTAAAGGCAAACCCAGAAAACTAGGAGGAGGGGAGTTAGGCAAGTCTCCTTGGTGTCTTGGAGACCTTACTGAAATGGTACTTCCTAGCAACTCACAGCCACTCACAGGCATGATCTCTGACCAATCCTTATAACCCCAGGTGGATGCTTCCTGAGTGAAAAGCAGCCAGGCTTACATGGCAGTAATGATTAAAATTGTCTTTCTTTTTCCTTGGTTGGAATACATGTTCTACTGGCATTTTCCATGCAATTTTTTTTCCCCCGTGTGCTACTCTCCCTTTTTGTTTTGAGCTCTTTCCAGTTTTTTGATGTATGAAATCATTCTGTTTTCATTTTTTAAACATTAGAGAGTTCATTTCATACCGGGGGTGGTACGCATTCTTTTCCTTGGCCTTTGCCATTAAAGGGCTAATCTATGCGCAAACTCTCACAAATGTCTGAATTTATAGAGCTTTGGAGTACACTGGTCTTGAGATTATTGTGGCACAGCCCCAGGCCTGGTTCCCTGGCCTTTCTCTGATGTCTGTGTCCTGTGTCTCTTTTCCCTAGCGAGGCTCCTATTCGAGATGTTATTCTGCACCAAACATCTGGACGGATTCACAACAAGAATGTTTCCACTCATCTAATTGGTAGCATTGCACGAGGTGAGAAATTAACAACTTGGGGTCTCTGGCCCAGCTATTGATAGTTTTTCATTATGTCAGTCCAGGATGAAATCAGATTTCCCATGGTTGAAAAATAACAGTGGGAGATAGCTGCAAGAACAGAGGGAACTCTGCTTCTGTTAGCCAGCTCCCAAAGAAAGACAGCTGGATAACTGCATTTGAGCTTCCTATAGCTTTGTTCCTTCTGTAGGTAGCTCTGACTGTTCACCTAGCACAGCAGTTTCTCTGCAGCCTCCAATGGCCTGCATTTAGTCATCCTGAATGGCTGCCATGCCTTGCTTCTGCAGATGTCCTTGGTCTTCTGCATGGCTGCAGCTTATGCCCTTTTTATTCCCTGGATGCATGTCTTCCTTTCCACAGCCTCATCTTCATTCTTTTGTGTTTTTCAGCATTTGTTTCCCAGTACCTGGCAGCTGTGTCCTGCTCTTCCTTCACCTAGGCAGTCCCAATCCCTCCAGAGCTGCTTCCATATTTAATGTATATCACTGTCCTCTGTCTCCCTATTCCATTTAGCTGTTGTATCTAAACTCTCCACAGCTACTGGTTTCTCTTAGCCGTCACATGCTGCTGTTGTGTCCAGACTTTTCTTACACACTACCACTGCTTCCCTTGTGTAAATGCTGTGTGCTCTGATGTGTGCCTGGTGCACCTGCTGAACACTTCTTTTGGTACCTATGGAGAATAAGCAGCTTTCACTTCCCCTTGGAGCCTGTGGGCATAATACAAGAAAGCAGAAAATCCAGCTGCATTTGCTCTGTCCAAGCATTATCCCCTGCAGTGCTGTCTGAGAACAGTTTAGGCTGTCCAATGTAATTTAGAGCTGGGGGAGAAGAGCAGGCCCCTGAACCCCCTGCTCTTCCTGTTTCCTTACCCTTCCTCCCCAGTTCCAAGGTTGTCATGTTTTTAGCAGCTCAGTACTGCTATGAGCTACATGGTCAACAGAACATGAAATCAGTTATTCACTGCATACTAAGCCTTTCATCTAATGAGAGGTGTCTTGTGAAAAATTAAGGCACACAGAGTAAAGGATGAAGAGAAGGTTCGGAAAAGTCCACTAATGCTGGACCATCAGTAATGAAACAGCCTAAGAGTGCCATGCTGACCAGTTTGTGAGGAGGGGACATCTTCTGGATCAGAGCGTGTCCAGATGCATGTCAGCTAAGGGCAATAGAGCACTCAAAACAGCTGGTTTGCTTTAAGCTGATCAGGAGAAACGGGGGAGTCTGTGTTCTGGGAGCATGCAGGTTGTTGTAGCTTGGAGCTCTCTACTGGCGGTGGGGGTAGGCTTGCAGTATTGTATCTCTGTGGGGAAAATGCCTATTTGCTTTCAGCTCTGCTGGCTTGTACCTGACTGCCAGGTTTCCTGGGTTCCTGCAGACCTCAGAGAGCCAGTGTCTCTCCTGTGCTGTCACTGAAAGGATGAAATGCAGCTGTAGTTGAACACAGCTCCAGGTCGTGCCAAAACCTGACCTTGCTGTCTTTTCTGATTGGTAGCTAGGTAGAGAGTGTACTGAAGGGCTGAACCAGCCTGCTGGTCAGGGGAGTCTCTTCTTCAGATTTAACTAGTCGCATTTGTCAGTGCTGTCCTGCACACAACTGTGATATACAGGATACTTTAGAGAGAATACTGCTTGTAGAATGTTCACAACTGTGTAAATATAATCCAGGAAAGCCAGGGCTGAGTGTGTAGATGAGCTGCAAATGTCTAATCTGCTCATAAAGTAAGGGCTCTCTAGCCCTTGTGTTTGTCTCTAGAGCAGTGTTTGGTGGAAGAGGATCACACCTTCTGTGAAGTTTTGCTGTAACAAAAACAATAGAGGTGGTAGCATGATCTCCACAGACTCATTTAGGAGTTGCCATGAGATGCTTTTGTGCTAATGTGACTAAAGCTTTGTCTGGTGATATCTCTCTTTTGACACTGCACCTTGCCAGAACAGCCAAAGGCCATGTTCCTGCCCTTGAAAGAAACAATGAGGGTGGTTTTCATACTCTTGCTTGGCATCAGCTGTTCTTTACTTTGTCCCTTGTGATGGTTCTGCCTATGCTTGTGCGTTTCTGGAGCCTGGAGAGGATGTGATGCAGTCCACTAATATCAGAACTGCCATGGGCCTGCAAAGTGTGCATATGTGGCACAGGCAAACTCTTTAAGAGCAGCTAGCAGAGCCAGACATGCTGATATCAGTGACAGAAGGTCTTGAGTTTTGAGATGCTAGTGCCCTACAAATAAAAGTCATGGAGTACAATTGATTGCAAGAATCTGCAGGTACCTGCTAAGCAGTATGTCAGGACTGGGCAAAAAGGAGGCAAGATGGATCAGCTTGTTTGGGTTTGGTTTTGTTTTTTAAGAGACGGAGGGGACAACATTTAACAAAACAGCATCAACTCTTGTAATTTTCTTCTGCACTTACAGGCTGCTCCAGTGAGAATAGTGGTTCAGGTCTCTTTGCCCTCTGTACTCTGGATGGTAAGTCCTACTGCTGTCCTGGACAAAAGGCCTGTGGGGTGACCAAGGCCTGTCATTAATTCAAAGCAGGGAACCAGGGGTTCAGTGTCTTTGGTTTTGAAAGAAGGGGAGCTGGGCTTCAGAAAGGCTTCCTGGGTCAGGCAGGAGAATTTGGCTCAGAGACTGCTGCTGACATATTTTCTATGGAGGCATGAAAACTAAGACAGAAGCCAAGGTAAGAGTTGTTACTGTGATCAAGTCTCCCATAAATCAGGTATGTGATAAAACGCCTGTATCTGAGGACCTGGTGAAACATTAAAGCTGAGCCTGTCTTTCTTTTCCTTACTGAATTGGGTCTGGTGTAGCACAGGCTTTCTCTCTCCAGGAAACCTGTTGTGTTTTCTGTTATGAGTATCTGCCTTTCTCGCTCCCCTGGTACAGTCTATTAATCTGTGGATTTCAAAGCATTTTACTGATACAAATTACTTGTATGGTCCCATGGGCTATGGTGGGTAGAAGTATTAATACCATGCTGCAGCAAGCAGCTGGGAAAATGAAAAGGCTAGGTCATTGGCCCAAAGGCACGCTGAAAGCTTGAGATGGAGAGCAAGACTAGAACTTTCAACTGCTGATTTCTAAGTTTGCTTGCTTACAGCTGTTTGAGATGCCAGTTCAAAAGTGCCGTTCCTGTAGACAAGAGACTCTGCCACAGCAGAGAACTTGGAAGGAGCTGGATTGTTTCCAAAAGCAGTAAAGGAAATGGGTGCTGGAACTTGAGTATTGGTAGAGAGGAGCTGGCCTCACGCAGGCCTGGAGCCAGGTTCTTTTGCTGTGCACTTGACTGCAAAATAGGACTGGTCTAATGAGCTGAATGCAGGGTTTCTGTTCATAAAGCACAGCGTGGAGAGAGTGTGTTGTGCTTTGCCTTTGCAGGTAGACAGCCTGGCTTTTTTGGGCCAGATGTCCACCTGCCTGATGATGTTCTGCTGGGGAGTTTCTCATTATTCTGTGGGCCTGAACTCTGAAGCTTCTGCATCTGGCAAGGCTTCCTGCCTCACTCTGGTTGACTTGTGAGCCATAGCAAAGCTGGATGGCACTGTGAGGCTAGATTCTTGTTTGTGTTCCACTTTCTCATGGCTACCTTCCCTCCAATGCCCAGTACTATCACATTATATTTGGATAATACAAAAATGGTACGTGAGCTAGGTGGCCAGTATGGTTTTAGCAGCCAAAAGGCCATGCCCATGCTATTAGCCAGCCACTTCTCAGCTGATAACTGTCAACATGCTGTCTTGAGATGACATGATCTGCAGGACATGGTGAGAAACTTCTAGTTCACTCACTGTCTCACGTGAGATCTGTTGATGTACTGTACTTTGGGAGCCTAGTTTTGGTCAGGTTTCTTCTTGTCTTAGAGCACAATCCAATCAGTAGGGCTGCTGCCACTTTTCCTCTCTGTTAGCAGTTACTGATGACAAGATGATGTACTGCTGTCCTTCCCAGAACTGAGACACTGTTACCTATTATCAACCACAGGCTGTACCATGGGCCCAGCATTCTGCCTGCACCAGTACCTGATTGCTGAAGGAATGTGCAGGGCCCAGTGTTAGCAAAAATCTTGTTCTCTTTTAATATTTTCAAGACAAAACTTACTTTAATTATTTTTTCCCCCTTCAGGGACATTGAAACTCATGGAGGGAGCAGACAAGCTGCTCTGGTCTGTGCAGGTTGATCACCAGCTGTTTGCTCTGGAAAAGCTGGACGTTACTGTGAGTGTCTGTGAATGGGGGTGGAAGGGATCAAGACAAAAACTCAACATGGTTTTGTGTATATGAATATAGGAAGGGCAGAAGGAATATGACTCGGCTGAAAAAGGGTGGGATTATCTCAGGATGACACACAGAGTGCTCTGACTGTGCTGATGCATTCTGCACTCATTTCAGTCTGTCCACCTGCAAGAGGTTGAGCTGTGTTTGACCTAGTGAGCCCAGCATCCTGCTGCAACCTTTTTTGTCCCCCAGCTGTTCTTTTATCCTATTGCAAAGTTGAATGGTTTTGCACATCGTTAATACCCTGATTGTCTGTAAGATCATATGATACATAAGGATTATAACAGAGAAGAGATGGTCTCCAAGTGCAAAAAGACTGGACAACTGCAAAATGACTGAAGAAGGCATCCAAAATTGACATCTTGTTCAGACAATAGTGTTCATGTCTCTGAACAAGCAGGAAAGATTCTTAATTGCCCTTGGGAACAGTTGAGGCCCCTGCTAATGTGTGATCTTATGGTTCCTACAGGGCAATGGGCATGAGGAGGTGATTGCCTGTGCATGGGATGGTCAGACATACATCATTGACCACAATCGGACTGTTGCCAGATTTCAAGCAGATGAGAATGTCAGTGCATTCTGTGCAGGTGAGGAGCCTGACTGCAAAGCCAGCCCTTAACAGCATTTCTTCCTCAAAGCTGCTACTCACATCGGGGAGACCTGGACTCCGTTGTCTGTCTGCAGTGGGGAATAATTTCCCTGTGTGTATTACTGCAGCAGGCCCAGCCAGTCTTTCCTCTGGTGGCATCTGGGAAAAGCTGGGGTGAGAGGAGGTGATGCTGAGGTTCTTCTGTGATGGTGTTGGGTTTGGGTTTTTTTTCTGTTGTTTTTGGGGGTGCTGTAGTGGTGTCTTGTCTTCCCCACTGCTTTTTCTAATTTACTGTTCTCAAGTGGAGACAAGGACCTCCATGGAACCAGCCTGAGCCTTGCCTTTGCCTTTCTGCAGGCCTCTACGCATGCAAAGGAGGAAGCAACAGCCCCTGCTTAGTTTATGTCAGCTTCAATCAGAAGATCTACATCTACTGGGATGTGCAGCTGGAGAGAATGGAGTCCACCAACCTGTTGAAAATCCTGGATTGTAACCCAGAGTTTGGAACTCTCCTGCAGCAGCTGGGTGTGGGTGAGTGCAGAAAGGGTGAAGGATATATATGGGAAAAAAGAGAGGAAGGCCTGCTGGCATATGAGGTGCTGGGAACTAGAGTTTCACGTACTTCTTGAGGAAGAGGAGCTTTAGCGTACTACGTGCTGAGAATCCCTAACAACTGTCTGTCTTTTCCATAGAAAGAAGTGATGTTTCTGCTGTCAAAAATCTGATTCACAAAACACTGTATTTTCCTGAGAAATGGCAGCAGAGCAACCCTGCGCAGTGTCAGGACCCTGCTGGAACAGACTCCTCTGCCCACTGCACTGTCATCCAGGATCCCTCATAACAAGTCACACAGAGGCTGACATCTTTAATACCTGCACAAACTCTTCTGAAACAGGAATCGGTCATCTAATGAAGATGAAACTGTCCCCATCCCTGTCAAAGTTTCCAGGCAGCAAAGGGTGTACAGGCCAGATTCTGTAGCAGGATGTGCTTGGTGGTCAGCTTGAGTGAAGATGGTGGGTTGGTTTGTTTTTAGCTGAGGAAGCTACCAGAACATTGCTGAGTCCAGAGCCCTGCTTATTGGCCTTCCGTTGCCAGTTCCCATGTTCTCTGCTAGCTAAAGTGTTTTATAGGTGACTGGGAAGGAGTACTGAGGACATAAATGGAGAGAATACCTGATAACAGTCTCTGTTTTGGCCTATTCTGAGTTCTTAGCAGAATCATAGTGCGGGAACTGCAGATGGAAGAATTGAGTTAAAGAGTAGGCAGGGGCTTTCTCTCCCATTTGGGGTGTTTTTAAAGTAGATCCAGGCATTGTTTGCCTTTGCTCTGATGCTGCTCTTCTGCCAAGCGGTTTCTCACAAACTAGTTCCTGTTCTGAGGAGCTGGAGACATGTTTGAGAAGAACCACAACTTGCACGAACAATGTGTCAAGAGGTTGCAGCTACAGTGAACTCAGCTGTACTCAAGAGTTGTTGCTTGTCTCCATCTGCTTGGGCAGGGTGATCCCAGACATGACTGTGACTTAGCTAAGCAGCTGTGAGCTGGGCAATAAGAGCAGTCTCTCTTAAGCATGGATCTGTGTTGTTGCAAGAGGTTGGCCATTCCATAATAAGGAGTGGAAGTGCCACACTTCCCTCTTAATGTGGAGAGTGCCATGCTATTTTGAGTCCTGCGCAACTGAAAGGTGGACTGGAGGTAATGTTCCACTTGCTGGTATGCAGTCTGGAAAAGGCTGTTGCTCACCCAGGCTGCTCATATGCAGAGGCCAAGGCAAGAACCTTTCCACATGCTGCTGGTGTTCTGCTTTTCCCCATCTCGGCTTGCCTCTTGCCTAACTCCGCTTGTTAGGATAGGAGCAGCAGGCTCACATGCTGGTTTGCATCTGCTATCTTTTCTCACTTGTATGATGTTTTACTGGACATGCATAATGGATGGACCTGTCTCTTCACTGTTACAGTAGCCCAAGAGGGTTGCGTCTGAGTCTGAGCAAATGGTAACATTTAAAGATCCTGCAGGCTACTGAAAACCTGCTGTGCTGTACTCTGCAAAATGTCCAAGAGCAGCCCTAACTGGAAGAACTTTGTGTAGGAGAAAGGAGTGTTGAAGTACCCCCATGTGGTAGAAGGGCAGGATCTTTACATTAAGCCCTATCTTGCAATTTCCATCTGTAGATTTATGCAAGCATTTTAAAGAGCAGAGTCTGACTGTGATAGCTATGAAGGTTGAAGCATGGGGCAGTGAAATGGTGTGACCTGGTCTGTACCAGCTAGCACTCTTTTTGCTTCTCAGATCACTCATTCTTCTGAGTCTCTAACTACAGTGGGAGTTTCTCTCCATTTTAATGACCTCAGTGAGAAGCATTTTCAAATGTTCCCCTGTCATACTAAGCGCTTGGGTGCAATTGGACCCTTCAGGCAGGAGCTCTTAGGTCATAATGTGCTTTTGTAACTGGTGTTCTGAGCGGCAGAGTTTGTCAGCTGAGAGAGCTGATATTGCAGGGAACATCTACTGATGAGCTAAGGCAAGGAGTGTTGAAGTGTGTTAGCTCTGGACCGTAACCTCAAGAAATTGTCAACTCTCATGCTTCTGAGAGGTACAGCCACCCATCCCAAGGGCAGTCATTATTGCTTCTGGTGAATAAGTAGTGTGACCCTTTGGGCTCTCACCAGTCTCTTAGTCCTTTCCCAATGAGGATGAGTCTTGTTGGGGCTACTAACAATCACAGTAGGTTGGTTTGCTACTTCCAGGTTTCTGTTTGCCAAAAGCTAAAGCTTCTCTTTCTGATCACCTCCTCTTCGTTCAGGTGAAGTACCAGTTGCTACTCTTAATTCCTCCTGTTGGGGCCCAGCTCATTTGGGAAGAAGCAGATGTCCCTCCAGGTGGGGTGAACAGTTTGGTTTGACTGTATTCTGGCATGCTTTCTGTCTAGCCCTTCTGCTAGGCAGAAATTTTGCACTTCACGATTAGTGGAACTGACATGAAAAGGAACCACAGTTAAGCAGGACTCTGCAGAGCAGTTTCCAGAAGCATGTAACAGAAATTGTGGCAGTGTCCCTGAACAGGCCTGTGTCTTGGCATATGCTGTTCTTCTGTCCTGAACGCAGACTACTTTTCTTCTGAAGTTTGTGTATTTTCTTGTCTTGCTTCCCCCCACACCCCTTTCCTAATTCTGTGGCTTCTGCCTTCCCCACTAGGGGTAGAAACAGGATGGTTACAAGCGACAGAAAGTAGCGATGCCTTTGTTTTCAGTCATGGCTCACACAGCTTGGGATGCATACTGCTGCACAGCTGATGGGCTCTTCTGCTGTGTATGCTTTGACAAAAAACAGAAGAAGTCCTACAACTTGTCCCTTTCATGGTTCCATTCAGCTTTGGCTTTGGTGGGGCAGGTGTTCACAGATGTACTCTCTCCTCATCCACTGCTGGGACCCCAGAGGTTCCTGCAGCAATTGCCTGGAGCGTTTTATTTGGCTGAGAGCTGTGGCAGGCTGAGCTAATCTGGTAGCTGCATTTTACAGGCTACTGCAGTGCTGCTGTATTGTAATTCCTTCTTGAGGCCTACCAGCAGAACAAGGATTGTCTACAGCCATAACAGAGAACAACTCAATGCTGCCCATTCATGCCAAATACAAACCTTTATTAGCAACACAAGTGCAAAGGGGTTTATGAATGGTTGTGTGACTGAAACTGTTTTATGCAAAACAACTTTGCCATACAGGTCAAATGATTTCCAAGGAAGGGAGGTCAAATTGATCCACTGTTGGACTGTTAATTGTTGAGAAGAAACAGGAAAGGGTTAATGAGGGAGGGATGGCATTTTCCTAAGAACCATCCTTAAAAGAAAACGGAGCAAACCCAGTGCAAATGATGGACAGGGCAATCTGTCCAACCTAGTCCACTTTTGTTGCTTGCCCAAGGATAACATTGCTGTGTGCTGTGCAAGCTGAGGCATGCTGCATTGTGGAAAGCAGAGGTGAGAAAATACAGATGCTACAAATCATCTGTTGCCCAAAACTCTTCAGCAATTAAAACCATTTCAGAGGAAAAATGCTGATGTTCAAGGGTTTCCCTGACAGTTTTACTCTGCTTACAGCACATAACTTGCAGATGCATCTTGGTCCTGTGTCTCTTGTGCACAAAGGAAAATGAAAACTGTCTATAGAAGGATTAATTGGAACTCCTGTGCTTTTCCTTGACCAAAAATTTGGTTGTTTTTTTTTCCAAGCGTTGAACTCTAAAGTGACAAGTAATAAACTAGCTACAGTCAGTGCTTCTCAGGTCAATGCTTCAGGCTGATAGTTATATTATGCTTTCATTGTAACTCATTGCCTGTTTGTCCTTGCCAGCCAACACAAGCCACAGATTTGGAATTTGAAGTTGTTTCTTCCCACACAGCAGAAGATGTTGTTTGCTGCATCCTACCAGTAGCAGATTGGCATACCCGCCGGTGCCAGGAAGCTTTTTGACAGGGCAGGATTTGCAAGACACAGTTGTATGTCCCAGTGCCAGCACACAGCAAGTGAGGAGTCCAACAGCGTTCTTGGTCACTGGGGGCATTTGCATAATGATTCATGGCTTTGGTTATGATGCTCAATTTACTAGCAAGAAAATAGAGGGTGTTGCTTTATTTTCCTGAGACATAATAAACCCACTGGCCATCCCTGCACTTGTTTTTGTGATCTCTCTGCTGAATGCAGTTATTCCCGTAACTCTTCAGGTATATCCTGGCATTTGCCAGTGGAGTCTCTTGAAAGGAGGACGGTCTGCAAGCATGTAGGTGGGTCAGTGGCCTTAAGTTCTGTAACTTGCACACTAGCAGTGAAAGAAGGAGCAGGCCTCTGGGCTGGAGCTCCCATTCAAATCCAAGAGATCCCAATCTCCTGGAAATGGTCCTGATTATGGCTTTGGCAGACACCGTGTTGGCCTTGGAAGGGGCCTCAGAAGTCCATCTCCCCATCCCCAGGCAGGTTCAGCCATTATGTATCTCACACCTACCATGTAATACTTGCTTCTCTATTCCAAAGACCTCCTGTGACAGACAATTCCCTGCAGACTGTTTTGCAACTGTTGTGTCCATTCTACAGGAAAGTAGCCCTAGTAGGAGCTGATCACCAAAGCGATTCGGAGAGATTGTCCCTAATATTCCATTGTCTATATTGAAGGGATTGATCTCATCGTGAGGAAGCCAGTGCCGGACACATCCAGGATATGCCTATGTCCTGCTCTGAGATGGCAGTTTGTACTAAATTTCTACTTTCCATATGAAAGTTTCAGCATTTTTTGATCTCTAGTGGAAAAGACTTTCAGATAGCTCCTTCCTTCCCCTTGTCACTCAGAAGCGATAGAGATGACTGGAATTAGAGGTAGGGAAGCGTGTCTGTGTAATAGGCTTTTCCAAAAGAAGCTACAATTGATACAGTCTTCAGCCTTGCCAGCCCACTTAAAAATTACTGAGTTCCCTAACATAGGAAGGCTTACCATGTCTGCAGATGGGGTTGAGTTTGCATCATTGAGATAGTGCAAGTCCTGATTTATAATCAAATCTTTGAAAGCCAGGATCCTGTCTTTCACAATGACAGCTGGGATTCCCGTGTAAGGACACAAAAATGCTGGTCTTCGGAGAAAACAAAGTTTGGGCAAGAATCCAGAATACATTTCTTAAGGCAAGTAACAACATGTCATTTAATGCCAAGGAACTCTGGGAGATGGAAACCCACCCGGAGTTCTGTTTGATGATGATGAAACAAGGTACTGACACTGTAGGTTTAGACTGTGATTTAGGGAATGAGTTGAAGTGAGGTGCCAGCCATGATGTTATGACCTGCAGTACTCAGACAT